TTCCTTAACAGCAACCCAGCAGCACCCGCGCAGATGTCAGGGCCAGGATGGAGGTGAAACCGCCCACCACGATGACCGACTGGCCAAAGTTCAGCCTCATCACCAGAGCTGGGAGCCCTCAGCTTAGGCAATTATGGCCCCTTCTCTTACCATTACTATTACTCTTACTCTTGCTCTTACTATTACTACTACCTCCATTATTATTACTAATACTACTGTTATTCATATATGTATTCCAATTCATTACATGGCAAGTACCCAAGGCGCCCTGCTTGGCGAGGGAGTGCAAGACGGCCACCTGGCCCCAATTGGGGTCTCTTACTAGCAGCCTTGCTACAGCAGACGAAATGTGAGCTATAGTCTGAACTCCATCAAGGGGCTACATATGGGGCGAGTATGATGGGGGTTACTTAGGGGGATAGGGGGGGTTTAGACTACAGCTCAGGTAACCCTACACAAGCAAAGAAGAGAGAAGCAAAGAAATATTACTAATACGAATACTAATACTAACATATACCAGCACTATCAATAGCAAGAGCCATAATAGTAACAGTCGAAGTAATAAGTAGCTACTCTCGTCACAAGTGTATTCATAATACTAATTCGAACATTTGTCCGGCCTGCTCCGCTTCAAATCGGGCGAGGGCCTGGTCGTACCTCCTGCTCTCCTGGGCCTGGCACTTCACTTTCCATAACAATGCAGAAGGAAATTCACAGTTTGTGTTGCCTTTTCTGAATCTTGAAAGGAAGAGAGAAGTACGCTGCAGCTACTGTATTTCATCATGGTGTCATTCCTTTTCCATTAACTTCCCATGCGGCACACCTGGCATCTGCACTCAAGTCACTCGTAGCAGCAGGCCGCACGTGCCTCGCCCCGGAAATATTTTACAACCTCACAGTTCGCCAAGGAGTCGAAGAAAACCTGGGCCAATCTGCTAAGCAGCCTCCTTGCTCTCATTCTTCTATAGTAGTTTCCAATTTCTTTTCCATTATCCCAATATAACCCCTGTATTACTCCTGTATAACCCCTATATTACCCCTATATTACTCCTATACTACCCCTACATAACCCCTATAGAAAAATGCTGGGCCCCTGTCCGCGCTGGCATCCTCCTCGGCCCGATTGGATCTGCGCATGATTTCGCGCCTTTCACAAGAGTTGCAAAAGACGCAAATTTTGTGCAAACAGGCAGCACTGTCAGAAAAAAAGTCATTCCGGCCTGTAGTTGGAAAATTTGGTGGTGAAGGCCTGGGCTGACAGGCTCAATTAGTCTGGTTCAAATTGAAAGTTTATTTCGAGTTGCAGGCCACTGCCCTGGACATCCTGGGACTGAGGTGCACGCCACATACACAGCAATGGTGGAAGTTGCTGCGAGGGCACAGTCGACTCCTGCAGCTTGGAGGACAGGCTGTGCATGCCTATGATGCTCGGTCAGTTCCTGCAAGTGAAGCCATGACGGTCAAGGCCATGGCGCACTCCACGGCTATGGGCAGAACGTTGAAAAGGAGCATGTTCAGCACCTTGCGTTAGCTGCCCTGACTACTGCCAGTAGCCACAGTCACATCTACCAAACCTCAATCTGCTTGCCTGCTTCCATCGGGCGTGCGCCCGTCAGCTCTGCCGATTTCAGCTGGTGCAGTCTTTACGACTCGTCGTACATGGGGAGTGGCTGATCAGGATGTCTAGCGAGGCACCTGCGTCAGCGACTTCGTGGCGCGATTCACCACGACCTTGTAGAAAACACAGGAGTTAGACAGCAAATTTGCGACTTGTCCGCGAACTTCATCACAGATTTCCTTTCTGAGAGCGGATCGTTCAGTGCACCAGGCTTGCTGGAAAGCAAAAAACTCCTGAGCAAAGGCAGTTGCGGCTCGAGCAGACTTGAGTATGTTCATAATGGGTGTCCCCCGTGGAGACTACCCAAAAGGACCCCCTAATTCTGGAAACGATGACTTGAGTTGCAGCCATAAGCAGCCCAGCTGCGCGTCCAAGTGATGCAAGTGCCTCTGTTCGCATCACATTCTGCTCGGTCTTCCCCCCAAAGGACAGCACCACCAGAAAACAAAATGCATCACAGCGTATATCTCTGCGTACATTCCTTGAAATAAGTTGAGCTAAAACAGATGTGTCCATTTCATCCAGCTCGCTACGTTCGGGTATGTGAACGAAGCTATATGTTCTCATACTGTAGCTTTTTTTGGAGCTCCTGGCCAAGGGTAGGCCCAAAAACCAAGGTAGCCGAGTTGAATGAGGGTAACCTGGAAATCCGAAACTCCATCCAGGGGTTTCGAAAGATTAGGAATCTGCCATTCAGAGAGAAGGACCCGAAGAACCTGAAGGCAGTCCGCGCCAGCTCAAGCTTCTCCAGCCAGAGAGAGGCAGGGCGCGTCCCAGTGATGCTACACTAACGGAGTGTGTTCAAGAAGCGTGGTTTTCAGCTTATGAACACCTCTGCCGCCTCCCTGCTGCACTGCAAAAGCAACTCGGCTTAAAGAAAGGATGATTCTGGGCAGTCACCCCTCCCCCTCGATCCATTGATTTCGGATGTCCGGGGGGGGTTGCCAGATGCTGGCCGCACATATTACACACAGAATTTGATGACATCTAAGATATGCAGCACCGTGACATTTATGAAGTATGATGGAACAACAACATACTACTGCATAGCAACGAAATGACAAGTTGCTCGAAGCTACGCCTTGCCAAAGCGCGGCAACTGCTCTGCGACACGGTTGCAAAGAGAGCAGCACGAAGCTCATTGAAAGCCTGGGCAAGTCTGGGAATTCATGGGGTAGTCACAAAGGGATCGGCTAGGGGATCCTAGGGGCATGTAGAGACCAAGCGGGATTGTAGGGATCCCTTTTTCAGTGGCCAAAGGAGATATTCAGAGATTCCCATGTCACATGTCAGCAATCATGATCTCTGCATGAAACCTAGAGCCTAGAGCCTGCATTGCATCTCAAGAGAGCCAGCGTAACTTTAGGCGTAGCGCGACCTATGAAGCTCGCAGATCAGACAGCACATACGGGAATGTTTCTTTATCAGCGGTGACATGAATTCAAAACACTTTACGCGGACACTCTACTTCCAGCAGCCATGGTTTGTGAGAGCTTTGGGCTCCACTCCTGGTTTAGTTCAAGTCACCACGGCTGTTTATCTGTTGGTCTAAACTTAACGCCGAAACTGATTCATGATGCTCTCTCACGCTCACATCTGTAAAGCAGGATGCATGCTGCCGAGGTTCACTCGTGGAGAGCCTGGAAAGGCCATAAGCCTTGGCTTTCATAAAATGGATATGTCGGCTTGATATAGGGTTATATGGGCTTATATTAGGGGTTATATAGGGCTGATATAGGGGTTATGAAGGGGCTATAAAGGGATTATAAAGGGGTTGTCGGGATACTGGAAAAGGAAATGGAAGCTACCATCGTATACTGGGACTATATGGAGATAATGGCAAAGAAAATGGAAGCTACCATGATGTACTGGGGTTATATAGGGAGAATGGACAAGAAAATGGAAGCCATCATAGTAGTACATATTGGGGTTATCCCTTACAAGTATCATCAACAGGAAAAACGAGAACGGAGACTACCTGGCAGGCTGCCGTCCTCAGTAAAGCCACACCAACTCTTACCACCAAGTGGCGGCAAGCAGTCCCAGAGGCAAAGCTTCAACACCAGAGCCCAGGGCATCAACTAAGTGCCCAAGCCTTAGATCATTTCACTAAGAAAAAACGGGGGCTGTTGCTTAACGTTCTGATTGGGTCCAGCAGCTGCAGCGGGGCAAGTATGGCAAGCGCCTTGCCAGCCACAAGCCCCACTACAGCGAAGATGATACGCCCCTGACGACCACAGCAAGGGCACAGGATACGGCATGAAAGATAGCATCAGGCGCCTGGTGCGATGCTTCTCGTGGCCAAAGTGATCGGATGAGGAGCCAGACAGAGGCATTGCCTGAGCAAGCCACGAAAAGTGAGGGCTCTCGGCAACTTGTCGCGCAGAGATCCGCGCTTTCGTGCTCCTTCACAGCCACGGAAGCTTTGTCACGTGGCACGGGATCCTGTCAAGGCGGTTCCAAACATATTGACCCACCAGGAACGGAAGCATGGGAAGAGTCGAATCCCTGAGCAGGCTCCTGTGAGCTCAGCGCGCGGAAAGGTAGGCAGCTGCCTGTCAACACTTCATGCCAGGGACAGACAGCCGTCCTCGGCAAAGCTCAAAACCGACCAACTGGAAGAGGGTCAGTCAATCCCAACATGCTAGACGGGAGCAGTATTGGACGAGTTGAGCATGAAGCTGTTCACCATGCACGCTCAAAAAAAGTCTGGAGTTTCAAGCAGCGAGCAGGTTTTGCGGTCTGTACGTCATGGTCTTTTGTATAGCTTCCTCTCGGCACTCGTTCTGGGAAGTCACCTGCTGTTGCGCTTCTGCTACGCACAGCCACGTCTCCTCTTGTGCCTGGCCCTATAGCAAAAAATCTGCACGGACCTGGGCACACGCCGTGCAGCAACCCCAAGCCTGAAGCCTGAAGGATCCGCATGACATCAGATCTTTGAAGTGCCTTGAAGCTGACTGCGTACCAAGGGCTGCGGAAGGCGGGTCAAACCTGGCAAAAGCCATAACCTAAAAGAATCTCCATGGTGCAAGCACCCGGTGGCCTCTGTTGCAAGGGCGCCAAAGCCGCAGCGCACCATGGCATCGCCACATTGCAGGGGATTCCCATAAGCGGGTGGCTACCTTTGAAGTCCATGAGATTACAACTGTACTTGTACATGTCTTGCTGCGGCACTGTCCAATCTAAGGGTGACACGGCCTGAGCAAGTTGGCTCATGGCAAGCAGCTTGCTTCAAGGTGTGAAGGCTTTCCGCAGACTCTCCAAAGCACTGCCAAGCTCAACTGCGCACCCAGCATTGGGATTGCCTTTTTCAGATCCCAAGTGACCACTGAAGCTTGCGCGAAAATCATTCTGGAGCCGGTTGCTGTGTTGCTGGCTGATATCCAGAAACAGCACGGCCACGGTACGAGCTTGTTCAGGCTGAGCTTGGCTTTGGGAAAGTGTCCCCATCGCTCTTCTCGTGTTTCTCCAGGTTTCACCTGACCGTGACCATGACCGAGCTACTTCTGTCTCACATGCAACGCCTGCAGCAGACTTCATCCGCCGTTTGTAGGGTACTTGCTTGGGTTGCCAGGTGCAGGGTTTGGCGTGGAAACCCCCTCTACCCTCCAGGTTGCCCCTCCTCGACACAAGTTCCGCGCCTTCAGCTCAAGACGCTTTCCGACTTCAGGGCCGCGTTCCGCATCCTGCCCTTTCGGATCTGCTTCGCGAGGAAGAGGACCTGAAAAGACGAGACACACCCAGTTTGCCCTACATCTCAGGCATAGACATTACAGAGGCAGAGACACTCAGGGCAGCATACATCACGTACACCACCTACGCCCAGTCTTGACAGGGGCACGTGAAAAGGTTCCTAGCACCGCATGGGCCTTGGTTTCCAAAGACTTTGGACTCCTGATGATGTCCTCCAGAGTCTGGCGGTCTGGCAGTAAAGAGCTGTACACCGCATTTCCAGCAGAGCGGTCCTGCCCGAGCACCATCCAGACAAGGGACAGCACGGTTCCCACGGCAGTGCCCACGCCTACCTGGGCCTGTCGCGGACACAATGTCTAGAGCTCTCTAATTCCAAGGCCAAGCGGAGTCGGCGTTGCCCAAGTGTGATGGCCGCAGATAACACGCAAGACCTACAGGCACGCATCTTGACACCAAACTTCAACCCCCCAAATAAGACCGACGTGGCACCGGGCCCCCCACACTTATCAGGACCGCAGAGGCCAGCAACATCATTGAGATCATGCTTGACCTGATAGGTTTGCCCTTCAATAGACACAGCCTCAGCGACGATGAGAGTCTGACTGGATCTGGGTGACCCAGGCCACAGACATGAAGGTCGCGACCTGGGGATGTGGTCTGGTAGTGAGCGGAAGATTTTCCTCTGGCTCGCTCAGAAATCCACCAGCGCATGGGACGAGGGCATCCCAGGATCCGTAAGCGGAGATCCCGCGGGTCTGCGTTGGTTCACGATCCGCCTTTCACGGGAGTCAGCTCCTTGATCTCAAAGCAAGGGCGCTTTGCCCAAGCTCTGCACTTGATTTTTGCGGTCAGCAACGAGGCAGCGATGCCGCCCAGCACGATGTACGGACCTGCTTCATGCTTCGCTTCTACAACCTGGAAGCCACTTTGCTTTTTCCCTACATCGGTGCAGCAACACACTGGCTTGGACAAAGGCTGAGCACATCATGGCGGATGACCACGGCTGCTGTCCTAAGATGCTCCACATGGCTGGCTGTGCCATGATGTGCCATGATGTCACACCGAGGTAGGAGCTGCCCAGCGGTGACGAGCCATTTCGAAGAAGCCTCGGGCAGCGAAACACAAACTTATCGGCACGCCCTCTTGCAATAAGGTAAGGCGCAGGCGTCCAACTTCCGTATGCCAGCAGGTACGCGTCCTAAAATTGAATTGCATCTAGGCTCCCGTGCTTGCACCTCCGTCACTCATCCGATGGCTCCTGCAGCTAGCTGCACCCGCGCCGGGTTGGTGGAGGCTATGCCGCCTTGCTGGCATCAGCTGCTCAGAAGGACTTCCCAGAACCTGGAAGAGCGGTGTGGCCTGCAAAATCCATGGCCTCACAGACCATACATACGTCGGATGTTCTTTAAATTCTGATGTTGGTTGTTCTACGTGTTCTTGGGCCAACCAAAATATGTTGACCAAGTACATGACACGTCGGTTGCATTGTCACGCAGCTAACTCAGTCCACTCTGAAGCAGTAAACAACGACGGCCGAGCTTGGTATGGCCATGTGGCACCTGCTATCACAATGCTGGGACTGTTGATTGAGGCCGCATTTGTTTCAGAGGAACACCTTCCGCCGCCTTCGACTCAGAGCTGTGGATCTCCCTCCCAAGGATGTCAGAGTCACTTGTAATGAGGGCGCAAGCGGTGCAGAGGCAGACATGAGTTCCACCACTTGCCCTCCAGAGCCACCCCAGCTGCCGGGCGAGCCCAACTGCAGGCAAAAGCCAGGTTCCTGACCTTCCTTGGAGTCACCACTCTGCGCATTGATTTCCTGGCCTTTATCCAGGCAAACACCCTGACAGTCTTTGCAGGCATCCGCCGGAATTACGAAGCGGTCTTTGCACTTCAAGCCATCCTGATCTTTACAGCACTCCTGCCAGCGACCCTGGGAGTCCTTGATGGGCCGATGAACCCAGATCCGGTCGGAACAGCCCAGCAGTTCTGAGACTTCGCGGGCTCGGGCGACCTTCTCAGCGATGTCGGTGCACTTCTCCCGGTAGTCATGCGCTGACTTGCCCATGGGGAACTTCAGTAGGCCCAGGAAGTTGGCCGCATCATGGCTCAGCACGCCTTGAGTCTGGAAGGCTGGTGGGGGCGAGCGATGAAGGCTTTGCTGCAAGAGGTGGAGCTCACCCAAACCATCCAAGGTATCCTTCAGACCTTCTCCCTCCCTCTTACGTGCCGATTCAGCCGCCCGACGGCGGCAGCTGGGCAACACTTGCAAGCAGGACCAATCCTTGTCGTGCCAGGCCGGTGCCTTTTCGATCAGCTGCGCCCACGCTTTCCGCGAGTGGCCAAGCTCCGTCAAGGCCTCCTCGATGTGCTGATACAGCTGCGTCCTCCCCGTCTTCTGGTGGTAGCACACCACCTCGCAACGGTAATCCTCAACACACTTGCCTCGAGCCTCTTCAAGGCTGCCAGCATAGTCTGCCTGGTCCCAGGTGAGGGACGGCGCCATCAACGTGGAAGGCGGTGTGCATGGGCATTCATGGGAGTAGAGAAATGAGCTGCGATCCACTACAGGCACGTGTAGGCATTTTGCTGCAGATCTTCTTCTTCAGCATTTCTTCAGTAGCATGCGTGCTCCTGCTTCGTGGAAAGGAGGAGCTGCTGCGTCAAAGCGGCTACATAGCCCACATCCAGCCGGACAGCAAGAAAACTTCCAGCCAACGACAGGTGCGCAAGGGACTCTGCTCAAGCTCACCACATGTGCAACATGTGCATCGAAGGTAACAGTTTTAAAATGTCGACAGCAGCGCAAGCGAAGTTTCGAGTCCAAAGTTCAGCACAGTCCGGCATGTGCACATGGCCCCAGAGCTGCGAACAGCAAGACCTGCCGAAACAACAGCGAAAACAGCGAACAGCTTTCATATGCCTCCTTCTTGGGAGCCCTGGCCTTCGGCCACGCCATGCTAGGGAAACAGACAAGGGACTAGTCAGAAGCAAACTCGCCAAATTTCTCGCAATCAAATTCCGAGGAACTCAAAAGCCAAGGTGACTTATCTCGAATTGGTCGAAGTTGCATAGCTTCGTGATCCTGCATGTAGCCAGCTATCTTCCCTGGTTGGGTGGTTCCTCGTTTTGTGTCAGACTATGAGCGACCAAACTGGTTCACTCCGTCTGGACCCCTTCATGGGATCCGAATTATGCCGCTTGCCTCCAAACGGAAGTATCATGAAATATCTAAATTCGCTGCGTACGCTGTGAAACCTGAAGGAAAGCAGACTTACTGGGAAGGCTGGCCGGCGAAGCACTCAGCATCACCCCAAGGTTCCGCTGCGAATTCAGGGGAGTGTCCCGACAGCACCCGATCAGAAACTTTCTGCACTGTTGCACACCTCTTGAGTTTTGGCTCTTGCAGAAGTTATACACACATCGTATCAGGTGCGGCGACCACTCCTAGGAAGATGACGAACATGCGTTTGCCCCCTTCAACCATTAGAGGTTACATTTTCCGGATCCTACTCTTTGGGGGTGTAGAAGAGGAACTGAAGGTCCTTGATCTAAAGTGCTGATGTCTGCGGCTCTGCAATTAAGACGTAGGGTGCTTAGGCTTCAAGGTCCACGATTCGAGCATCTGGCATGTGTTAAGGAGCACAAGGGCTCCAGAAAGTTCTTCTAGTACCCATGGCCCGGTGTCAGTAGATCATTCAAGCGGAGCTCCTGGCCAACAACGGATGTATGTAAGCTGTGGTCAGTGCAGACACAAAGTACTTTGCTGCTCTGAAGCATGTCTGGAACACATCGGGCGGAAGCTTCTGCGCCTTAGCTGTCGCATGGTATGCGGAGCATGCCTGCAACAAAGCACGCGTGCGCAGGGCATCTGAGCTTGCAGCTCTGATTTCTTGGTGGCTGAGCCTTCCTTGGTCCTGTAGTATGTCGAGCAGCTCCACCCCTCCCTTCGCACCATATGCTGGCACGGTCCTTGTTTCGAAGGCCGAGCCTTTGGAGGCCTGGGCTTTCAGTCACAGCAGCCAACCGTAAAGGCTCAGCTGAAGTCTAAAAGCCCGTTCAGATGCACCCATGGCAATTAGGAGTGCCTGAAGCCTGCTCCCGCAGCGAGTCCCCCCCCAATCAATCCTCCCAAGGATAAGACTCCAAGGTTGCAGCTGCCCTCTTCGGCAACACAGGAGGCGTCAGGAGGCACAAAGTGCACTACTTGAGGTAGAGATTCGTCGCAAGTGCCTTCAAGTCCCAACATGCCCCATCAATTTCGAGGCCCGAGCTGTGTGGATCTTTCCTGAACTCTTTCGGGCCTCCGATGTCTTCTGCCACATATGCCATGAAAGATATTCTAAAGCCAGTGAGTCTGGCAAGCAGTCAAACGCAAAAGCCTTTTCGGGCTTCAGGCTTGCACGCTTTGACGTTCTGCGTTCCAAACTTGTCCAAAACGAACTTTGCACATATGAAGCGTTCTTGCGAGTGGCTGGCACATGGTGAAAGCCCCCTCATTCTCCGAGCTTTGGTGCTGGGCAGTATGTCCTTTGCTTGTAGCTTAGGTTGGTACTAAAACAGCGTCTCCGCCGACCGGATAAATTTGCAATTTCCTGTAGTACATATTTAGCACGTTTTGATACTGGGTTACCGTCCCCGGCGAGTAGCTGGACTTCCGTGGCCCTGCAGCACAAACTATAATCGGCCAACCATCAGAAAACCTGCTCCAACTCCCCCGCCCCCATATGGAGAATGATTGTCCCTTCCTTGTTGAGAAGGACGGAGAATGACAGCCGCAAGATTTCAAAATATCCAAAGTTTTGGTTCCTCCGTGATACGCATGCCCCGCTCTGGGTATGCCCTGCTCTTCTCTAATCTTGGGGTGTGAAATTTACTGGAAAGCAAACGCATGCACCTACCGCAAGGTAAACATAATGCGAAAAATTCGCCGGCTTACGCAAAACCTATACACGGAGGAGAGCACTGGCGTATGGACCAAACAAAGAACGAACCGCGCAAGCAGGTTCCGAGCCCTCGGGTGCTTGTTCAAAGATCTACTTGCAAACACGATGAGCATTGCTGAGCTTGAAGCTTTTTTTGCTTTCACCTGCCAGGTTAAGTGCTGACGACTCCTTAACCATTCTTCAGAAGTGACAACACAATATTGTGAGCTGTCCGCCTCTTTGTCTGCCTCCTCAGGGGTCTTCTGCTTTGCGACCGCTGCCGCCGCCGCCTCTTCCGCGGCCGCCGCCTCTTCCGCGGCCGCCGCCTCTTCCGCGGCCGCCGCCTCTTCCGCGACCCGCATCTGTTCAAGGATGTCGTCAACTTCCACTGAGTCGGGGCCTGCAACCGGACAACACTTCTACACTAGCTCACGCTGGAAACTGCGCAACGATTCTTGGAGTCGCACTTGGCTGCGACCTTGAATGCAGAAGCCACGCGCTGTGCGCAACGCCGAAAGCTATCACGATTTTATGTGTTGCAGTACTGTCGCGCGGTTTCAAGCTGCACGGGTCTACCACCTTTGGCGTGCTGAGCACGCCACTCATCTGCTACCACCTGCTTGCACATGGCTTCACTGTTTTCCAGCATGCCAAATTTGCGAAAACTAAGTGTGCGGCCCACGCAGCCACCACGGTGATGTCGTCCTGTTTCCTTGGCACTGCTTTCAACGTGCATCTGTGACAAGTCTGCTGGAAGCACCCTCCAGGCATCCTCAGACGCAGCTTGGGTGCAGGCCCACCCAGGCATTCAAAGCCGTGGCGCTTACTGTATTCAACAAAAGGCACCTACAAAATCCGGAGTGGGAAGATAGCTGCAATAAACTGCTCAAGTTCATTGATTCGAGGGGGGGCCTTGGCTGTGGGGTCCATGGATCGTTCCTGGGCCGCCAAAGCCAGAGACTTCGAGATAGTCTCTGGCGGCCTTGAATTGACAATCTCATGCGTGCTCGGGCTTTTCATGTGGCAACTCATTCTCTCAGGGACAAGCGTGCACCTGTCAAGCAATCCCAGCATGTCCTCAGCCGTGCAAGCATACACAGGGGATTGGGAATCAGCGAGCTTCCATCAATCTAAGGCCAAAGCTGCCTGGGCAGGTGGCAAAGCGCGGTCAACAATGCTAATGACCTGCCAAAGGGTCAAAAGCTGCTTGAGCACTTGGCACCATTTTCCCGCAGCCGAGGCCTCACGGTCATGCAAATTGTCGCGCAGGCCGTCTGAGAACATCAGGACGAGGTCGCCCTGCACAGCCGTTGACTGTTGCTTGCTGCTGCTCCTACTGCAACTTGCTCCTTCCGCAAGTGTTGAATACCACCTTTGTGATGGTGGGGAAGATGATTTGCATTGTGGCTTCTGCCCTTGCGGGAACTACTGCTCTTGTGACCTGTGCATCTCACGCAATGCCTCTTGGATCTAGCCAGCAATTGAACTAGCTGAGTCAGGTGAAGCTGGCAATGACCGAAATGAATTTGAGGCTCAAGTCGCTTCCGCCGTGATAATGGTATGAGAAATGCAATGGCTGTCGTGACAATACCCGAAGATGGATTCTGACAGGACGGCGCGTCCAGGACGTTTGCCACAGGTTTTTGCGGTGACAGAGGTTGGGATCGTGGCACATTGGTTCAGGAGGCTGGAAGGTACACATGTGTTGTATAAAATAATCTAAAGCCATGGCAAGCGCAGTGAATTTCCATGTCATCAAGAAGTTGCAAAAAGTAGAGGTCTTGAGCAAGGAAATGTCTAGTATCATGTGTGCAGGTACGTATACGGTTCGTGTCTTCCATCTTGCGGATTGGAAGGCGCGAATGACTGTTTCGTGGCGGTACACATCTGGAAGGACCCAGTCTGTCTACCTAATGCACCTGGCCACAATACTGCGCATCTGACCTGTGCGCCACTTCTACGCGATAAAAATTGCAACATGGAAGCTGCGCCTGCGCATTTTGACAACTTGTGCAAGATATATGCATCCAATATGTCAATCCCCGGGACCAACATGCAACCCCAGCAAGTTTCACCATTTGAAAGATCTGGGATTGCGGGGGTTAACTTTTGGAAACGTTGGAAAATGCGGTGTCATGGGGCTTGTTGCTCAAGAGTTCCACGATGTTTTGCTTGGTTTTCCAGAACTTGAAGGGGTCATGCAATGGGCATTTGGACGACGTGTTATGGAGTTTTTTAAATCTATCATCATCCCCCCACCTCCCTCTTCTGCAGGTCTGTAATGATCAGTGGCGTAGCAGAGAATACCACCTACTGCTGTTGGCACAAGTACTTGGGCAACCTTGAACCAAAAATCACACAGTTAGTCACTTGACAGGCTTTGAAACATGAACAACATTGAACAACAAATCATAGCCCCACGTCAAGCTGCAAAACAAATGTTTTGTGTGAAGCGTCGAAGCGGAGCTTTATGAATCACAGCACTTTGAAGAAAGCACGTCCGACAAAATGTTACATTGATGTGTGTGTGATGCAAATGCATCGGCTCATCAAGATGCACAATGCTTTTAAGTTTGGCAATGGGAAATCCAGCTACCCATCCGCTCACTCGCATGACAAATCATGCTATCATGAGGAAATAAGTAGTGAAAGGCACCACCCATTTGAATTGCCGCGCTTTGTCATCAGGCCAGACAACGTGGCCACGCCGTGTTTGCAGGTTGCTACTTATTTGGCTACATTCATGACTGCTGCGCCGGAATTGGGAATGCTCGTTAGCGCGCGCGAAGCTGATGTGGCAGCATTGCGAGGGGCTTCCGCGGATTGCAAAAACCTTGTTGAACTCACCGCTTTCTTGGCTGCGGCCATGTCCTCAGCCATGGTGGGGCGGACGGCAAGCAGCCAGTTTTGCTCGTAGCGCCGGGAATCTGCACCTGACTGGGCAGTCAAGATTTCCATGTCCGAGACCAGTCAAAGTTCCTGGCAAGTCGTTTTGCGCATCAGAGAACCTCTGAGTGCGCCCAACGACCACGCGGACGTGGGATTTGACCCGCTACTTAACAGACTTGTTCCAGGTTTCTCTCTCTGACGCCAGCCTGTGAACTGCTTTTCGAACAGCGGGGGCCAGAGTCTCTCTCGCCACTTTGATGATCAAGCCACTGGTTGCGCGCAAGTTTCGACGTTGTAATTCAGCGTCGATCTTCTGGCGAGCAAGCAGCATTTTGCGATGGAGAAGCCACGAGCTAAGTTTTGCCCACAGCTTGATGGCTGCACGAGGTATTTTCCAGTGTTTGCTCAGGACAACCCAGTCGATCTCGCAACCAAAGGTCCCGAGGTAAACCGCCAGGAAATTCCACTTGCTCGGGCTGTTCACTGGCCCACTGCGGCCCGTGGAAGCCACCCATGACTGCAAGTAGTTGAATAAACCTGCCGAACCTTGAACTGTAGGGCTTGCCCAGGGTCAGGTTGTAGTGGTCATTCTTTCCCGCCTGGCTTCGTGTGCTCAGCTACACGCAGAGCATGCCAGATCTGGCGACGGGCAAAGGACCCATCAAAGGTGCCCACCATTGTTCTTTCGTCCGTTCTGTGAGACGCAGGGGACGTAGACGCCGGACTGCCCTGCTTATGTGTCTCATAGACTTTCCCTGCGTATCTCCACCATCTTGGCAGCGCTGATGATTTGTTGGGGCCCGCTCCAAATCAGGAAGCCCATCTGCAAGGCAGAGGCACGCCTAAACTTCGTGCGCCACTTTACATCAGAACCTTTAAGACGGGGCCGCTGCAATCTCAGCGGTGCTCCCAGAAGGGCTGCGCCATGCCTGCAAGGCATGGCGCAGGGCAAGAGTCATGCATTACCTTGCCCACGTACCGAGATGGACCAAACCATTGATAAAGGGCGCGTAAATTGTTGGCTGCTTGCCCCATAACAAGCAATGCTCTGTAGCAACTCGTTGAAAGCAACGCTCCTGCGGTCGTTAGTCACTTCTGGAAACTGCTCAGGCCAAAAGATGCCGCTGTTCACGCGTGAGGGTCCGGCCGACTTGTTTGGCCAGCCTTGCGCGCCTGCGTTGTTTGAGCAGGAGTAGGCCTAGCGCACAGAGTACGCCAGCCATGGCACGCGCAGCATTGGAGTTTGTCCGCCCGAAGTGGCTTTCCTCTGGGAATAACCAACGCAGCAACGCGTCCAGCACTGCACCAACAAGATTGCCGCCAGAGCACTCTTGCCAGTACGCTACAGTCTGCCACCAAGAAAATTGCAGCAATCCCAACTTGTGTGGAAAGATCGGCCACGGGGGTCGGAGGATTCACGGACGCTGCGCGTCCTTCAGCCCAGGCCAGCACACGCAGAATTCCAAGCATGATTTGTCTCAAGCTGCGTTGAGCGAAGTTTGCTGTACCTGTTTGCGCTTGTAAGATGCGCAGCGCCGCTGTCTCAGCTGGAACGCGGGCTTTTTGAGGAATGTCTTCCGCCATTCGCTATCTAGGAGCAACAAACAGCTGTCCGGACTGTGGCTCCAGCAAACAATGGAGATTTATGGAAGCTCTGAAGATGCAGAGCTCGAGGAACACCGTAATCAAGCTACAGGCGATGCCTGGTCTCTAGACCGGAAGCCCCGGTGTCACAAGACGCAAACGCCACTTTCCAAGATCCAGATTTGAGCGCGCGCCGTGGAGCGCTTGCGCCTGGCCTAAACCTTGGGATTCATGGCTGCTGGAAATGTGCCTGAAGGATATTGGCTTGCAAGAATATAGTTATCTTAGGGAAGCAGGACGCACACCTCAGCCAGCCCAAGGACAGATCAATGTTGAGGGGGCTACGTGTAACACAGGCTGCCGATTCAGCAGAACAAGCCTGCGTCACTATACTTGCAGCAGATACGTAGCCAAACAGACTGCAAGATCCAAGCCAATTCTGCCGCTGCTTGAAGGATGCGATGGCAGCATTTTGTCTTCGCAGGAGCTGACACCTTTGTTTGGCAGGGTTTTTGAAGGCCTTCCGGGATGTTGTTCTTTACTTGCGCGCCAAGCGGCTTTGCAGGCAATGAGTTGGCTGATGCGCTTGCCAAGTTTGCCGGTAAGCACCCAGCGCCGGACGAGCAAGCTTCCAGGCCCTGTTGGCCGAGCCAGGTCACCAAGCATGAGTTTGCCGAATGGGCATGGTTGCTATCCGACATCAAGACGATTTGCCTGCGCTTGGTGCATTTGAGTCTGAAGCTCATCGACTCTTTGTCGAGGCAGCCACCAGGCCGTTTTCATTCTACGCCCCCGAACCAAGAGTGATTGCCGGTTCTGAGTCAGTCACTGCTGAGATTGGTATACAGCTGCGTCTTTGCACTCTCAATGTGCTTTCTATGCGTGAGCATGATAGCCTGCCGCAAGGTGTAGCTGTGTTCGGTAAACGGGCCCTACTTAAGCAACAGCTGCTGGATGGTCATTTGCACGTCGCTGCTTTTCAGGAGACGAGAGTGTCGGGTGACTGTGTACAGCCAGATGCTGACTTTATCATGCTGCATTCTTCCTGTGATTCGCATGGATGTCTTGGCTGCGCGCTGTGGTTGAGCAAGACCATGCCTGTTGTTCATTCGCAACAGCGGTCACTTTGTTTTACAAAGGAGATTTGCACTGTGCTCCTATCCGAGCCCAGGGCACTGGTCGTTCAAGTTGACTTACCTGGCTTTCCTGTCACTCTGGTTTCAGCACATGCTCCATATGATGGTCACAAACAGATCAGTTCAGTGGATTTTTGGCAAAGAATTGCCGATGCCGTTTCTTCTCGTCCATCCGGGGCACAGCTTGTGGTTCTTACTGACAGCAATGGACACCTTGCATCGGTCAGCTCCACTGCAGTAAGTACGGCAGGAGCTGAATGGGAGAATCAAGCTGGGTCTGCCTTTCATGACTTCCTTGTCAGCAATGGTCTGTTTGTGCCCTCGACTTTCCCTGAATACCATCAGGGACGTCACCTCACCTGGAAAGTTGGTTCCTCTGCTGGGCATAGACTGGATTATGTTGCGGTGCCTGACGAATGGTGTGCTGGTGATCTGGCTTCTTCAGTTTGGTATGACTTTGATCATGTACACGATGCGGATGATCATCAGCCTACTCGCCTGCATTGCGAGCTGCTAAGGAAGGCAGCTGACAGATGTCCGGACGTTTTCTTCAGAGCTCCTAGACCTC